AAATCTCCGTAGCGTGTTGCCAGGCGGCAGAAAGCATATATATAATTATAATAAACTTACAATAAATTAAGTTAATATATAATTATATATACAGTAGCTAATTTATATATAATTAATATATAATTATATGTACAGTACCTAATTTATATATAATTTATATATAATACTAAACAGACGATAGCAAACTCAATTTAGCCGCTCCGTAGCGTGGCGCAGGGTCGGAGGTAAGTAGTTTGGCTGCTCATCCACTATTGGTCCAGACTCTATCAATCTTGTCGCGAAACGACGTTATAGGAGGTACTTTATACGAAAGTTTCTACAATTTTTTCGCTACGTTATAGGAATTGTCATTATAGGAACATACGTTATAGGGGGGTCGACTGTATATCAAAAATTAATTCAGAAATTACAGCTTCTGTAAACACTTTATAACTTTTTATGATCTTTAATTTGTAGTATATAGATTTTATATAAAACATCTTAAATTTTATATAAGAGTTAATAAAACTTAATTATTAATTACTGAAAATGCTAATGTTTTAAGGTTTTTCACTCTGGTTTGCAAAATTCTAAGGTTTATACCCTGATGATGGGCCAAAATGCCTGAAAGTGCTTTGTTGGGACTTATAATAAACTGCAAGACCTCCAATAAAGCAGGAAGTAATAAACGTTCATTAATGGTTAAAGTATATTTTTAATAGCTTATAAATTAACATAGTTATAAAAGTTAAACTAAAGGACATTTAAAGTTATTTAAGAACAAAATTTAAATGTAAGGTATATATTGTACAGTACATGGAAGAAAAAACTAAACATATTTAATAAAATCAATGCAACATAACTTTTAAAAATACTGCTATTTTTAAACTATGAATAAATAATTGTGTTTTTCATTAGTTTTCAGCATATGTAATATTTAAAGTTAATTTTAAACATTTATTATTTGAGTATTCAACTAAATGGCACCCACACAGATCATACACTTGACTATAAATCACTATGTAATAAAGTGAGCTCTTTGCCAAAGCAACTTGTAAACATTTTTTAATCCTCCTTTTGACTCCTTGATGGCAGATACAAAATAGCTGTTTAACTCACAAAGAAGGAGCTTATTTGTTTCACATCAACACTTTTTAAAGCCAAGATGCTTCAAAAAAAAAATAAATATGAAAATATCTGAAGATGAAACATCTAGACCTAGAGATTCCTTAATGAATTAAACAGCTACTGTGTTACTACTGTTTATGACTGAATAATAAATGCATATTAATAATTTTATATTCAATTTTAGTTAATGAAAAATTATTATATTATTCTTTCAGGTTGTAAATGGAAGAAGTCAAAAACGAATGGTACAATTTCAAGTCCTTATTATCCACATAATTATCCAAGAAATGCAAAATGCAAAATCAAAATTGCGGCACCTGAAAATTTTGTAGTAACAATAATAATTGATGATCTTACAATGGAAATAGATGAAAACTGTTCTTATGATAAATTAGAAATAAAAGATGGATTAACTCAAAGTAAGTTCTTATATTTAATAAAATATAACTGATAAGCTTCTTGTTTTTCAAGAAAGCTTTGAATAAATTCAAAATTTTTGATATTAAGAAGTATTACTTTTAATATTGTAGATTCATCATCCTTAGGATTATTTTGCGGAAGATTAAATGAAAGTAATAACTTAACTTCTACTGAAAATAATGTTTTGATTGAGTTCACAACAGACAATTTTGCAGAATTTTCAGGATTTGAACTACAGTATTGGATTCACAGAAAAGGAGAAGATTTTAGTTAGTATGGAATATTCATAAATTTCCTGTCTGAATTAAAACAGATATATTTATCATTAATAAATATATATTTTATTTTTTAATTATTTAATTATAACAAATTGATATTAGTTTAATATTAATTTAAATATGGGAATTTCCACATAAAACTTCTTTAGATACAAATTTTCAACAAAAACTCGGCCTTAAAAAAATCAGAATATATATTTATTAACTCTTGGAGATTCAAATCTCTGTCTCAGAATATAACAACAACTTAATATAACTTTACACATTTATATGGAGCTCAATCAATAAGACGAAAGGATCATAAATAACTGATCTTATTTTGTTAGTTTTCTGAAATGTTGGATTAAAATTTTAATTGTAATATGTTAAATCGATCAATTATAAGAATATTTTCAGAAATCTCTATATACAATAAGTATTATTGCATGCAAATGTGTAATAATTTACTTTTACTTAATGCATCCAGTTTTACTCACATTCAAGATATAAACCTGAAAACATACAAAGTGGACACAGTTCTTATTTGTGAGATTCACCTGAGTTTTCTTGTTAGAGAATATTTGATAAATTCAATGGATATAGACATGTGACAGTTTATTTTGGGATATTATGAAAGATAATTTCTCACTTCTGTCATACAACAGTTAAAGATTGTTCTAATGATTTTCAATTGTCAAATTAACAATGCATAAGCACTTTTTGGTTATTCTGCATATTGAAATTATCTAATTCTTTCATTTCTGTTCGTATATTCAATAAATTCTCTTTTCTGTCACAAATGATCATACTTAACCTTCCAGAATCCTTATTAAATAATCAATATTATCTGCTTGAAGTAATTAATCTCATTTAATTATCAATAATCTAATTTAACATATTTTGTTATACTTTACAATTATTTTTCCCAAAATTTATTAGCAAGACACTTATATATCCTATACATACAATTAACTGAGTAATACAAAAAAAAATGATGGTTTTAAATTTAAAAATTTATCTTGCTATTTTATATATAACTTTTTTAAATAACATTTTTAGAAATGACTGATGAAGATTTAGATTTAGAAGATCATATTCCAACAAAACCACCAAAACTGAAAAATAATTTACAAGATAAACCTTCTCCGGAAGTATTTTCTGAAATTCCACAAAACACAACAATAATAATAGGACAATCTGGTACCTTATTCTGCAAGCCAAAGGATCAGACGGCAAAAATACGGTGGTAAGAATGAAACAGAGTTATAAACTTTTTAATAATTTAAGCAACAAAATTACTAAATTGTTAATAATTTTGATTTAAATACTAAATTATTTTAATGTAGATTTGAAAACATCCAAATTTACTTTTTTCTATTGTAATTTATTTTTTATATAATGAAAAGCATTTAGACAATTATGATTATAGGCATACCCTGCTTTATAATGCTTCATTTTATGGCACTTTGCTGACATATTGTTTTTCAGTGCTTACCTTGCTCTGAAGGGGATTTTTAGGATTTATTTATTTACTTTTACTTTTGAATTGTTTTAGGCCTGGTGCTCTTGCACATTTAATAAATGGTAGGAGCTGTCCATAAATTACACAACACAGATGTGTATGGATGAATATGTAGTTAATCGTTATATGTTACAAGGGGGTGTGGGTGTTTTACAAAAATGTTATGTAATGCTAGGAATTTAAATTGACTGTTGTCATTAAATATGTAGGGATTAAGCTACTGGTAGTTTTTTCCAAATGGTGACAACTTCTCAGGTTTGGCTATTTCATTATCTGATTTGTCCAAAAAAGTTTTCCATAGCAAATTGTATTAGTTGTCACACTGCTTTATACTTTACACATGTAATTAATAAAATAATGTTTAGTACCCAATGCTGTATATTATTTCTTAGTACAATTAAGGGAATTGATTGAGGATATTCATTACATAATTTTGGGGGTGGGTATGTCAACAGCATTACAGAGGATAAGAGGGGTTGGATAGTAGTTGGAAAGTACAGTATAAAAATAGCATTATGTAATTTATGGAAAATCCTGTAGTGTAAATATGATTTTACACTTTCATATACTGTAATTAGCTTTAAGACAATATTTTCATTGTGCAATTTGGAACTCAACCTTCTTGTTAGTGAAGTAAAATCACATACCCTTTTAAAGATTTCTGTATAAAAACCATGTTTTGTCTAAGATCTACATCTTAGACAAAACATGGTTTTTACAAATATTGGTTACTTTTAAATTGCAATGCATCATGCAATTTAAATTTGTAAGCCATAATATACTAAAATAATGTTAACAAATAAAACCATACTTTTATACAAGAGATTTATTTATTTATGAACTTTTTAAGTTATTAGTTGATAACTTAAGCTGAAGATAGCTAAATATTTATGAGAAATATATGAAGTAAATATTTTTATTTTAACAGACAAATTATACCACTTCATTTCTAAAATGTGTACAATTATGGTCTTCACTTTATGATTTATTAACAAAGAAATCTGTAAAAAAGTTGATAATACATGAGTCAACAAATTTTCAACTTTAAAAATTTTAATATATCAAAATATTTGTTTAATTTTTCAAATAGATGTGAATAAAATGATGTCCATCAAGACTATACAAATATTTTTGAGTTTAATAATTGCATCTTCAGATCACACCATAAATTTTTTAGATTTAAAGTTATAATTCTTAAAAGCAAATCAATTTTTTATAAATTTACATATCCATTGAAAAAATTTCATCTAAACACCAGATCCCCACTTTATTACAATAAACTCTATTTAATATCTGTAGTTAATAATCTGTAATTAAATTATAATGTGAACTCAGTAATATATTGCTTTTTAATAATTCATTCCAAGACCTCTGAAGTCAAAATGTTTATCACAAAAACTTTAAAAAATGATTTCATCAGGAGTGTGTTTAGCTGCAATTCACACTAATGATTTGGTTGGTGCTAAGCATAAGCTTATAAAATGAATGTTTATTTTACATTAAACCTTATTTTATTATGGCAGTTCATTGTCACATGATTTGGCTATATGTTGAATCAATCATAAAGTGAGACAGACCCTCATTTGATATATATATATATATACTGATTTTTACAGCTATACCAAAAATCTTTAAAATATAAGTCAAGATTATATAAAAACTAGTATAAATAGTAAAAGTTAAATAATTTAGTCTTAATGTTTCGACTAAAAAATATTATAAAATAAGAATTTTTTTTATAATATTCATATAGGATGAAAGATGGTCAATTCTTAGGAGGACGTACACCAATACCAAGCGTTAGTATAGTAAACAATGGAACAATACTCTGGATTCATTCAATGTCTACAAATTTAAAAGGCCTTTATACATGTGCAGCTGTTACTCCTGATGGTGTGATGTATTATGTAAATACATCAGTCGAAATGAGATTGCAAACCGATGACTGCAGCATAAGTAATCCTTAATTATATTATTTATTTACAATTAACTAATTACAATATCTATATATATATTCTATTCAGAATAAATAGTAATAAATTATTAGTTCAAATATTAACTATTTGATATGACTTAAGTTTAAGTGAGAGAACACAGCTAACATAAATATCTAAGGTTATTCCATAATTATTAATAAAAATATATAATTTTGTTTTTAGATTTTAAACATAAACCTAAAAATATAACAATACGAGAAGGTGATTTTGATTTTGTTCAATGTTCTGCATCAAGACCAACAATGAAGGTTATTTGGAAAAGAAATGGAGAATTAATTATTCACTCTGAACATTATCAGCCAGTAAAAAATGGATTTCTTTTAATAAATAATGCAACTTCAAAACTAAGTGGTGTATATACATGTATTATTGAAGATAAAAATACTGGATGTCAAAATCAAGCATCAGCTTATGTTTATATTTCAAGAAAAATTAATATTGATAACGGTAGGTTTATTAATTTTATATTTGATATTATTATATCCAAACAATCAAGTTTGTTATTAAAACAAATTTGATTGTTTGGATTCTTCTATTTCTTTGTACTTGATTTATTTTTATAAATTTATCAAATGGAAGTAAAAAAACTTTCAAAATAATTCAAAATTTATTTAAAATGTTCATTCTTTCAGCTTATAGGAAATATGAAAGTCAATTTTACAAGAAATACTAAATTTAAGATTCTCTAAATTCTGTTTTACCTAGTTATTTCTTTTGTACTATCTTTAGCTAAGCATTATCATTGTCTAAAAAATATTTCAAAATGCATTGAAGAGAAGAAAGAAATTTTTTTAGTCAAAACTGTTTATTAGTATGGAACTAAATAAAAATCGTTTATAAATGTAGAATTAATTTAAAAATGCATAGTAAATTAACTTCTTGGATTTCAAACATTGAAAATTATCATTTTATATTCATAAATAATGTATAAAAAGATAAAACTTGAAATAATTTAACAGAAATATAAGAATATAAGTAAACAAATATTACAAATATGTATTAGTTATTTACTTGTAACTAAATTCCAGTGCTCTTTAATTATATGTGTGGAAGATTTGCTGAATGTTTGAACTTTTCCCATATCAATTTACTATGAAATAAAAGAAAATGGAATAATAATACTGAATAGATTGGTCTTAATATTATATTTTCAATATGATAATACTGTATTTGTTCTAATTAACAACACAACACACTGTCTATAGCTTTTTTCAGCTTGCAACTGCATAGTAGAATAAGTACTGTATAAATAATCTCCTCTATACACACTGTAAAATAAACGACTTACTTCTGCTGTAAACCAAAACAGTGCTTATTTCCAAATATTTTCACAAACGTTTTCGCAGTGTTCTAAGGAAACTCGTGCAATCATCGTGTTAAACTTGCGCATGCTCTGTAGATAGAAGGATCGCTTTTGGCTTCTCAAGTGTTGTAAATAAGAGTTTGCCATGCTACTCTTATTTACGACACTTAATAAGATAAGGATAGTTCATTCTTATTGTTTATACACTTGTCTTCTCTTGCTGTTTTATAGATATATATCACTTCCATCTAGTGCAAATGGTGTATTAGCTGTGTGGTGTATGATATCAATATATATATATATATATATATATATATTGCATATACTTTCATCTTCAAAATGCAATATTAAGACCAATCTATTCAGTATTATTATTATTATTATTATTATTTCCATTTCATATATATATAATGTGTGTGTGTATACATATGTGTAAATTTGTTTTTCAGTTTGTGGAAGACCTAAAATTGGACAACCAGATAAAAAGAAACCTCAGATTGATCTTGATAAAGTTGTAGGTGGTCATGAAGCAAAAAAAGGTGCTCATCCCTGGCAGGTATGAATTTACCATCATTTTAATATCATTATATAATAGTAAATAATATATTTAGTTTAGTTTTATTTGAAATGCCACAATTCAAATTAAAATCCAACAAATAAATATCCATGACCAAAGTGGAATTCAAACTCACAATCTGGCAGAGTAGAAACAATGTCTTAATGCAGTAATGCCAAAACTTTCTGATTGGCAGGCAAAATTATGCATAAACCATAAGTAGGTGGATCATAAATATTTTGTAGATTCTAAATTTATAAAAAAAGTATATCTATTCCTATCATGTATAAGTGATATATCAAATATGCTTGTGGATTAGATTTGGTCCAGGATCCATAGATTGAATTCCATTGCCTTAACATAATTGCCAATTAGTTCAGATTCTTCATGAAAGTTTACATTAATTATCAGTTAAAAATCTTTTATAACTGAAATATAGCTATATTCTATTATCCAAACATAATGTACTCCTCAAAATGATTCAAATATTGGAAAATTTTTCTTTTCAATTATTTCTTACAGAGAATATTATAACTTGTTCATAGTCCTTGCTAATATGCTACAAAAAGACATTTATCAACTCATGATTTTAGCAAGATATTAAATACTAAAAACTGCATTACTTTACTAACAAATAGTTAATAAGATATTCATCACATTATTGCTTATAGATATAAGTTTATATAGTACTCCCTATTGAGAATTGCATAGGAACTGCATTTTCTTTAATATGCAGTAGACAACAGTGATACTGTACAGAAACAGAACAACAAAGAAAATAACAAACCTTCTGTAATGAACTGTTAGGATAGAGCTTGTAAGATTAAAGTGAAATTTTATGCAATATGCAAAATAAATTATGTTAAAAGTACTTCAGTAACATTTTTAAATATTTAAAGCCCAAGCATTTTCAATTCCTTCTTGCTCATTTTGAAAAGCTTAATTACTTTTAAAAGAACAACATAAATAATTTAATGTAAGTTAGTATATTTATAATTTTATTTTTTTATCATCTACCAAAAGTAATTGGACATCCCTACTGTACCCTACAGAATTAATTCCTTTTATTGAAATACAGTAGAACCTCGATTATCCAGATTGTTCAAAATAAACAAAAATTGTACGAATTTGCTGATTTGCAATTGGCAAATTACAACACTGTTTATGTACGTGATGGAAGGCATAACATTTTTTGTTTCAACAACGTCTCACCCGGCACAGTGGTCGTAAACTCTTAAATTTATTTTGCGTCGTAATAAAAATATAACTTGACATACAAATAATTTATATTCAAATTACATCATTTCTATGACCAAGGGCGGCGTAAGGCATGGACGACGTGGGCCACCACCTATGCCTCGCGGTCCGAAGGGCCTCGCGCCTCGAAGGTTTATGCATTACTTAAAAGCCGTGAACGTGATGAAAAAATTTTACTCGTCATAAAACGATAAATAGTTTGTCAAATTTTTATTCATAAAAATGCAGTTTCAACTGCTTTTTATTTTATAAAATCCATCTGCTTGCACCACCAGAGGGCCTTTTAAACAATAGGTAGTCTGTCAGCGTTGGTCAGTAGTAGTCCAAATTCAATACGAGCGTTTGTTTCTTGAAAATTTGGTCACGATTTAAATACAGTATTTATTTTTAATATTACCGATATGTCATCGAAAAGAAAACGTGTTGTATTAACATTAAAAGACAAATTAAAATATTTGTTTCAATTATCCGGATTTTTCCTTATCCGGACTACCTTCATCCCCAATTAGTCCGGATAATCGAGGTTCTACTGTATATTGTTGCTACTATTCCAGATATAACTCTCTTAGATAACTTTTGCCAGTTTGTGCAATATAAGAAATAGTATATTCTTCCACTCTCCCTAGAACATGTTCAACAGTTCAGGGAGTGACATAAGATATGTTTTGCCTGTCCTCACTTGCTGCTTCTGTTCATCCAACAAATGTTCAATGGAACTGAAAGAATTCTGGGCCAGTATTCATTGAATCTTTCTCTCCTCCTACCAAACTAGGATGGTGGATGTGATGTAACGTCATGCATTGTTATCCTGGACTTAATAACCCTTGTCCCTGCAGACCATCAATGATATAGAGATCATTTCATTTTAGACAGGTATCCATGTTAAGGTTATCATGGATGATAACCAATGAAATTGTGCCTATTGGTCATCATCCATGCAGCCATCATTAGTAAAATGTCTACTAATATTCAACCAGTAGTTGCTACATAACCACTTGAACAGAAGAGAGTAAATCTGGATTTTTCACTCTGCAGCAGCTGTTCTCAACCTTTTTAGACTTGTGTCATACTTTATTTTGGCTGGTCCTGTAATATTTAATAATAAAGTAAAAGTAGTTGGTTCAGAAATGTGAGGTAAGGGCAGTCTTTGTCTACAGTTGGCAGAATCTGAGTGAATCTCTTTTGCTCCTTTCCCATGCAGGAACAAGTTTATGACGCTGTCAACATTTGCTGAAATGCAGTCTTGACACCGTTACAAATTCAAATTGCCAAAGAAAATAAACTAATGGTTGTAATGAACTATCAAAACATGTGCATTCTAGTAATGGCCTCCTCTCCCTGTAATCCCTTACGGATTAGTTTTTGCTCTCTTGCATTGTGCATCTGAGTGAACTTTTCAGCACACTCTCATATATAAGTATATAGTATGAAACAAAGGAGATAAAATGTTAAATTAAAAATAATAACTTACTCTCAGTTTATTCAAAAGTGTATTATAATAATTAATATGCTATAATAAAAACCTGATAAGTAAGATATAATCATTTACACAATTTGTAATTTTTAAAAACTATGTGCACAAATCACTTTCATTCATAGACAGAGATGAAAGTATCCTTAAATTAGCAATGATGGATTAAAATGAGACTATTTCCTCTGTCATCTTCAACTTTAATAGATGGAAATTGAAGAAATTAAACTAAATAAGACATCACATTTATTATTCATGAAAGCCCACAACTTCCACATGCAATCTTTCAAATCATTAAATGACAATTATTAAATTGATTTTTATTTACTGAGAAATATTTGGCAGAATCCGTTATTATCTTGATATATATGGGGCAACAAATGGCAAAACTTAAGTACAGTAGAACCTCGATTATCCGGACTAATTGGGGATGAAGGTAGTCCGGATAAGGAAAAATCCGGATAATCGAAACAAACACTTTAATTTGTCTTTTAATGATAATACAACACAATTTCTTTTCAATGACATATCGGTAATATTAAAAGTAAATACTGTATTTAAATCGTGACCAAATTTTCAAGAAACAAACGCTCGTATTGAATTTGGACTACTACTGACCAACGCTGACAGACTACCTATTGTTTAAAAGGCCCTCTGGTGGTGCAAGCAGATGGATTTTATAAAATAAAAAGCAGTTGAAACTGCATTTTTATGAATAAAAATTTGACAAACTATTTATCGTTTTATGACGAGTAAAATTTTTTCATCACGTTCACGGCTTTTAAGTAATGCATAAACCTTCGAGGCGCGAGACCCTTCGGACCGCGAGGCATAGGTGGTGGCCCACGTCGTCCATGCCTTACGCCGCCCTTGGTCATAGAAATGATGTAATTTGAATATAAATTATTTATAAATGTTATGTCAAGTTACATTTTTATTACTATGTAAAATATATTTAAGAGTTTACGACCACTATGCTGAGTGACACGTTGTTGAAACAAAAAAAGTTATGCATTCCATCACGTACATAAACAGTGTCGTAATTCACCAAGTGCAAATCAGCAAATTCATAAAATTTTTGTTTATTTTGAACAATCCGGATAATGGAGGTCCGGATAATGGAGGTTCTACTGTATTAAACATATATAATATCTGAGTTACACATTTAATTTTTTTGTTCAAAGAACAGTATACTCATATTTTTATTGGTATTACATTTATACAGGGAGAAATTTTAATAAACCAAATTTTCATTTATCAATTATTTCTCTAGATAAGAAAACAAAACTAACAATTTTTAAAATTACAATCACTTAATCTTGAGTTTCTCTTTAATCATCAAAGAGTTCACTGAAGTGAAATGTACAAATAGTTACACTTAATTCAAGAGGTAATGTGAAAGAAAAAAGCTTTTATTTATGTGGGAGTAAAAATGATAAGTATTAATGAATGGTAATGTATAAGACTATATTCCCTATACTTATACTTTAAGGGGAAATATAGAGAATATAGTCTTAAAATACTAGGTTACATTCACTCTCAAATTTTAAATATTAAGTTTATTAATGTATTAAGGATTAAATAATTATGATTATTAAAAAAAATATTCAATGTATACTTATTAATATTTTATAGGTAATTTTATGGGATCCAGTTCGTAAGACATTTTGTGGTGGAAGTCTACTGAATGAAAGATGGGTAGTAACAGCTGCTCACTGTTTTTATATGAAACGTATAAAACAGCCAATTGATAAAGACAGAATTGTCATAAAGTTGGGTAAACATGATCAGTATAATTCAGAAGAAGAAGAATTTATAACTGGAATTCAGAGTTATGTCATTCATCCAGGATATAATAGAGGAAATCATGATAATGATATTGCTCTTATTCAACTGATACATACTATTCAGTTTACTGATTATATAAGTCCCATATGCTTAGGAGATCAACAATTTGTAAATGATGTGTTTTTTGAAAAATCTTTATACATGGGCACTGTAACAGGATGGGGCCAATTAAAAGAAGGTGGAGCTCAGCCAAGATTTCTACAAGAACTTCGAATGCCAATTGTAAATTGGGATGTTTGTCGTCAATCCACAAACTATCGTGTAAGTTTTTTAAAGTAATTTTTTAATTTCACCAAATCAATTTATCTAATCATTGTACCTTCACTTAAATAACAATTAATAATAATTAGTTGCTATTGGCAAAGTGATAATTTAACAAAATTATGCAATACAGTTTATTACAGTCATTTCTCAAAAGTAAAAATTAAAATTTACAGATAGTATTAACAACTTAATATAACTTGGATACATAAGACTTGGAAAAGACTTAAGTAATCAGATGAATAGTTTATTTTTAAATAAATCTTAAGTTACATCATTGAAATTTTTTAACAAACAGAAATAAAGTATTAGTTTAAAAGCCTTTTATATTTAAAGAAACAGTAAAAAAAAAGTGTAATATAATCTGTTGATACAATTCTACCAAATGAGCTGAGCTCAGGATTTTGATTTACAGTTTTGTTCCTTATTCAGAGTTCTTTTTAATTCGAGGTAGTCTCAGTCCAATCTTCCCATCTATTTCAAATTATCAGGACTCTTACTATGTATCTTTTGCTAGAAATGATTTTCATTATTTCTATAATTTTAAAATATTATCCTTTAATACTTTTAGTAATTATCTTATTCTAAAAATTGTTTATAGTTCAAGTAGTTTTTATTTGAATGCTTTCATTTTAATAACAGAATAAATGTGTATCCATTATTATTAAGGATGCAATTTAATTTCAAAAATGGGTTTTGATGCAACACATTCCCAAAACAGCTCAGCTTTGCCAAATTGTACCCACTAAAAATACAGATTCTGTAATTTGCACTAAGAATAAGCTGAATAATCAATGCCACTTGGTAGCAGCATTTTGTAAAATGTACATACAGTCTTTAACTTTTAATATTGTCAATCTGTATATTATCTTTCTAGAATATACTGTAAATATTCTATTGAATTCAGACCACACAAGTTGAGTCAGTCTGTCCATTGAGTACTTTCATTTTCAAGCTAATCTTCAATGTATTTTGATCAGTTCCTACATCCACACTCCTACAAAATAGACAAAGTCAAGGCTGTGCCAGAAAAAAAGTCTTTTATCTCAAACTTAATTTGGATTATATCTTTCAAACAATGAAGTAGTGTTTTTAGACATTCGCTATATCCACAAAGAAACCTACTCTATTGTTGCATGTTAATTTCTGACTTCAATAATCAGTCCAAATGTAATTGAGAATTTTATGTCCATCTTTGGAGAACTTACTACTAAAAAACAGTTCTTGGAACACTTATTCACAACCAAGGATCAACAGTTAGAAGTTAACCAATAAGCATTCACATAATAAAAGTAAAGTGAATGGTAATTGGTTAACTTCTAACACTAAGTCTTGATCTTTGGTTGTGAATATGGACATACCACATAAGATTTGAAACATTACTTAAAATTTTAAGTCAATCTGACAACTTAAAAAATGTTTTTTTGACAGCATACCCTAATGGAACAAATTTATACAAAATTACTCTTAAAACTGTTTAATTGTGTCAAAAACATATACAAATTTGTATAAGTAAAATTTATAATTTAATATTCTTTTGTTTTTGCTTATCTGTATGTCCTTATGATATCAAAATTATACAAATCCAAAACTGTATTTCCTTTTTCTTTATCTGCATTGTCTTAACTAAAATAAAGGTACAAAGACAAGCTCCTGAATCCTTGTTATGAATGTACTAGAATAATGATATTGTTATCTTTTCTGTACATTTCGTATTCCTAACATCTCTAATCTTGTTTAGCTTTGTCTCAATTCATTGTAAGAGACTAGCCATTTTGTTTTTATTTTTACTTACCAGATTATATAAAATATTTAGCTTAAAATCATGACATTTTTTGTTGCCAAAAAAATGAACTGCAGGACTGGGAATTGATGAATAGTCACATAATTTTTGAACAAATGAGCAAGCCCATGTAGTAAGCAGGTGGCAAAGTCTCCTAGTGACATACAATAAGAAATATTTGTAAAAAAGTTGTTAGAAATTCAATTCCATTCAGACATTAGCAGGAGAATTCATAAAGTTGTCTTCTTCAGACTATCAGTGTTTTTTTAAACATTATATTATATTTAATAATTTTGTGTTCTAAAAGCTGTTCTTTATAATAATACATTTCCTTAAATATGGCCTTAATTTGTTAACATATTTATTCTCAAGTGTTTTTAAATTCACATGGATATTGATTGAAGATTGACAATGTTTGTTGGACAATGTCTATGATATGGGTCTTCCTTATCTAAAACATTAGATACTGATGATCAAATTGGTTAGTTTGTCAATTTCGGTATTAATACCTGCAATTGCTAGTTTAAAATAGTATTGGCAGTCTTACTATTAATAAGGAATAATCTTGGGAACGACGACTCAGGAGCTTGCCTTGAGTAATCACAGGAGTGATTACTGCTTATATAGAGTACACTAGCAGGAACTTTTTCCAGAGATTATATGACTACTGATCACCACTAAGGATGCAGAGAATCTTTGGAAAAAAGTTAAGGTTATCAGAAATGTAATGTTTTCTGAATATTACACAATGATAGACCAAATCAAGATATGTAAATAAAAACTACAAGGTGTGCATGCTTTGAATTAGAAAGATCTAAAATTCCTTTCTAACTCTTGAAAGTTTATATAGTCAAATTCATTGAAGCTGTAGTCCACTTAAATGTTCTACAGCTAAAATAACATTTTATTTTATGTGTATAATTACCAATTGTGTGTTTATTTTATTTTTCTTGTTTCATTTATGATTAACGATTTGAACATTTACTTCAAACTATTCTTTCCATTGTCCTGAAAATGATCTATATAAATGAGATGATAAAAAAAAATTAAACTTAAACTATCAATATTCTTGATTATCTTTTTTTACTTATATACTAAGTAATTTCATAAAATACAATATACAAAAATAGAGGGATGATAATTTTATTTTAAATTAATTAAATTTCTAATTTTTATTTATCATTATTTAGACAACCAGGAATATGTTTTGTGCTGGATATGCTGAAGAAATAATTGGAGATGCTTGTAAAGGAGACAGTGGTGGACCATTTATTACAGAACATCAAGGAATGTGGTACTTAATTGGTATAGTCAGTTGGGGTGAAGGATGTGGACGAAAGGGAAAATATGGTTTTTACACAAAAGTGGACAATTATCATCCATGGATTAAAGGAATTATTAATTTATAATATGCATTTCCTAATTAATTCTGTATTCATTACACTGTAAAAACAAAATTTGAAATAATTGAAGTACACTAAAGTATTAATAGAATAGCAAGTTTTGTTTCTTCAAGAAAATTAAAGTTTCATACATACTGTATATGTTCTTCACCTTAATTAATTACTAGGAAAAACAACAATTCATAATTCTAGTTAGTTTATATAAATTTAATACACACATACTTATAGATTTTCTTAGCCTGAAATAATTTGAATGCTAAACAGAAACAAAACTAAAATTCAAAATAATGCCTAAACTGAACTCTTATATTGTTTATATGAAAAATGTTTTAAATAATTATCACCTCAGATAATTTATCTCATTTGACAATTTTACCATCTTTTTTAACTACAAAAAGAATGTCTATTTAAAATTCTAGATATTAATATTAAATAAAAAACTAAACGAAAGTTATAGAAAAATGTATAATTTAATAATTCTATATAAAAGATATAATATAATACAATTTTATTACATTGTAATGTAATATTGATAAAAACATGTATCAGTTCTTCATATTATTGAAGATTCATTTTTTTTTATCAAATATGATATAATTACTTTAATTAGCTGCTTAAAACAATTTATTTATTTATTCTGAAAAAAAATTAGAATCTAGGCATATTAATAGATGTAATCAATTTGTGTTAATAAAAAAGTATTTATACCAAAATGTTGAAAATATAAGTAGCAAAAGCCACCCAATGACTTGCAAAGTTCAAATTGGCCCACTTATACAATGTATGCTTCATATTATAACCCTGAAAATAATAGGCTTTTTAATTAAAATTAATCCAACAATATTTTATTATATTAGAAACTGTTTTAAATTTTTAATATGTAAATTTAAAATCTTAAATATTGATTCCTTCATTAATAAGAAAAATTAAAACTAGTACAAATTTACGTTATTATATTTATGAATTAACAGACAATTACTTACATATTAATTTAATAAAATTAAATTTCTTACATAAAGTACACTGATACAGTTTATAGGATAAGATAACATTTTTGTCAATGACTGTATAAAAAAACTCTCTGAATAAAGGAGGGATTGGAAATGAATGATACTTTATTAGTGCAAACATACTGATAATGGTAATAAGCAATTACAACCTATGTTTTCCCATGAAATATTCTGTGACAGAGTTACCCCACAGATGTTGCAACTATGTTCCATATCCTTCAGTCTTTTAGGCTGATGTCCCACCTACCCTAAAATTCAAGAGACCAGACAGACCAAGCAAGTGTGGCAACATGCTTGGTCTGCCTAGTCTCTTGATGTCTCCATCATGTTGCCACACTTTGTGCTTGTCTCATGATCAGACAATTGTCCCTCTTGGTCTGTCTGCTCTCACACTGTAACACTTCACAATCAGGTCAGGTCAGAACAGCCTCCTCCTTTCTTTAGTCCAAAAATGTGATCTTTATACACAGCTGGTGCATTTGAGAATGTCTTTGTCATATAGGTATGCCTGGCATTTAATGCCTCCAAATTTTGAACCTTTCTATAGAATACTGGAATAGCAATTGTAAGGCACTCTAGTGACATGATCTGACATGCAATCAATATACAGCTGTATGCCATGTTCTGCAGTAATCAGGTAATTCTATCTCAATGCATAACTTTTTTTGTCAATAAGTGTATTATCAAAAACAAAAATTGTTGTTGTTTTGAGTTTTTCAATGAATGGATTCATTATTGAAATATTCAGTAGGCAATGTCACCATCAACATCATAATATTAAATAGCTACATCATTTCCTTAATTAAATAAATATCACTAATAAAAATAACAGTAAAGCCATTATTATATATTAATATTTTATATGAAAAATGCTATTGTAGTTTTGGCTATTTTATACTTGCTTTTTTAAAAAAATACTTGACAGAATAATAGTAAGATCATTTGAATGGTTATGGATTAAATATATAAAATAACTTGTCCTGACTGACTGACAGTGATTTGATTCATCATTGACCAGGAGCTGAACCTAAAGAGATGAAATTTGGTACACGGGGTACATCATGAAAATGCACACTAAGAAGGGAATGTTCGAAATTCCCCCCACGGGGGAGAGAGAAAGGATTAAAGTTTAATCTGAAGAAGGGCTTCTACTATTTTAGATGCAATTTTTTGTTTTCAACTATGTTTAGTCTTCATTGAGTACTTAGGTGTATTAAATTATAACATTTCAGACATTGTTATAAATATTTTTATATATTTCAATTTTTTAACCAAATGTTTGAACCGTTTTAAATTCAAATTTGTTATTGCATATTGGTTCGATTATAGAATGAATGTAAATGTTCCAGAAAATTGATCAAATTGAAAACAGTTTGCTTGATTCTCAGCAGTAGGTGTTATATAACAATTACTGTGGTTGTTGAAATACTGAATATAAATGATGTTTGCTTGCAAAATCTGCATGGGTGAAGTTGCGGGTAACAACTAGTATATTATAAAATTTATTTACTTCTGATTATATTTTGTTATTGAATAAATGGTGAGATAATTTAATTTTTTTTCTGTTTTTTGGTCATATTGCAACAAACTCAGAATTCTTGACCTTACATTATTTTATGCATAACTAAATAATTTTTCATGACTATCATGGTTAATTATCATTACTTTGCTAAACTTACAATCAAAATTATTATTCCATCTATTATAAAACAAATATTAACATATAGTAGTAATTGTTTTTCAGAAAATTGAAATGGAGTAAAGGTTAATTCATAAATATATACACTTCTCACAAACATTAATAGTTCAAAACTATGAGAAAGAGATGCACACACACTCATGCTCTTGGTTTAAAATAAAGTGGCTCATGTCTTTTGAGTGTAACTAAATCTTAAATGTAAAATGCTTTATTAAAATAAACATATTCTTATTTTTAAGTCAAAAAAGAAAAAGAACAATACAAACTAATGTATTTTGGAAACATCTCTAATTTTATCTTCAATACAGGGTTATTAAAAAAAAAACTTAATGGTTTCAAAAAATTACTCTGTTTATTGCAAACTAATACTAACATACAATGTAAGGTCATTTCTAGAAAAATTCTGAAAGTTTTTTTGAGACAAATGCTGTATGTTACTTCCTCGTAAACTTAAACCATTTTCTTCCTTTTTTTAAGGGCTCTCTATCTTTCAAACAATGAGATAAATTAATTACTTTACTTCATACTAGTAGCCCGGGTTGCCCCCTAGTGGGCGTTTTAGCAGTATTACAAATTCCTATGAGGCATGTTTAATTCACTTAATATATGAAAGTTGTGTGTGCTTAATTTTTAAAAGTTTGATGTACTTAATATATATAAATGTATACAACTCTTCATCTTAGAAACTAAACTTAAAAAATCAATACGCAAACAGCAAACAGTATTTGTACTGTACATGAGAAAGTGAAGCTATTCTTTACTGAAAATTGTTCAATAGAATTAATATAATTAAAAAATCAAGTATAAATATACACAAATCTTCATGTTAAAAAGTAATGTTAACAGATCAATACACAGCAAACAGTATTTCTGTATTACAGACTGAAGATATTCTTTAGCTGTATTCTGTATTCCATCATTTATCCCATCATAAAACTTCTGTATACACAACATTTTTGGTAAAAAAGTATTATTATTTGGAATCAATTTGCCTTGTTGTGTCATTTTGTCTTCTGTGTCGTTTTGCTTCTGCCTGCCTGTGCAACATTGCAGATCT